TGAAAAGTACACCAAGTGCCCGATGCTGCCGTAGGCACCGGTGTGACGTAACAATAGTACAGAATAATTTCGTCAGCTTTGTTCTGATCCAGCCCTCTGATGATCTTTTTGTTTGTTTGTTTGTTTGTTTGTTTTTCAGGTTAGGATCACCTCCTGCCCCACTGCAGTTTAACTGAATTGTTTACTTTCAAAGGTAAAGGTTAAGTCTTTTGTCCTATTACTGTCCTTGAGTTTTCTTTAAGGTCTTTTTGAGCAGTTTTATAACGTTTTTATTGATTTGTTTTGAAACAGGTGTGTGTCTAGTTTAAAATGTCCTCAAAGATGCCCAGTTCAAACAACATAGCGCAGGCCAGGAGGACAGTGCAGCAGCTGAGGATAGAAGCCAACATTGAGAGGATAAAGGTAACGCTGTTTTGGGTTTTCAGATGCATCCCTCCCAAAACAGGAAGGGCATGTCTCTCTGGTTTCACTGAAATGGCCAAATTTAATACCAGAAAAATGCAGTGCTGTAGAAGGAGGATGAGGCCCCTGGTCCTGTGTTCGTCTGTCATTTCGAGAGGCCACCCAACGCACTGCATGGCAGAAGAGAGGGGCAAACCGAGGGATGTCAATTGTGTCAATCTGCAAGCGCATTGATCTGTGAGAATAAAGCCCATCATTCTGCAGACGTTTTGCAGGCCAGTAAGACAGGCTGGCTGTGCCGCTCGGCCGCTCCACGGGTTCGATGCCACAGACAGCCGTGACCCTTTGCGCCTGCTTTCTCTTGCGGTGCGACTGGGACCTGGGGTTTGAGCCCCCAACCCCTGGGGTCCCCCGCGAGGGCCACACCAGCAGTGGACAGGCCCTCCTTCAACGCCAGCCCCCCCCCCCAGGCTAGGGGTCATGCACGCCCCCCGGGGGCCCTCGCAGGAGGGGTCGCCTTCGTAGCGTGGCAGTTGTGAACGCGGCTGTCGGCCGTGTCGGATGTTTTAACCCCTGTCCTTCCTCTCCCCAGGTGTCCAAGGCGTC